ATTTGACTCACATAATTACAAGTAAGGATCCATTACAATTACTTTTATATAGAGGGACTAAATTGAGATTTCCGAACCAAACTGGGGACAAAATTGGGTATTAAACCTTAAGATTATGAGGAAAACAGATAGCTATTGAAACATTAAACCAAAAAAGAAATATGAAAATTAACTAATAAAAGAATATGCAAATTAAGAAATAATCTAAATATTGAGAATTCACAATTTCATCCCCAGAGAAAAACGATGGATGTAGGATTAGCATGGGGAATGAAGAAAAAGGTACATTCTGTGAGTATATTACAAACTTAATTCTCAATGAGGCCATTATTCAAACGGTACATAGACATTAAAGCAGTGCATAAACATTAAAACAATTCATTCATAGAATACCCTGTAATTTGCCTTTGCCTTCTAATACACAGCTTCATCAGTCACGGTTAAGCAGTTAACCAATTCATTCATAGAATAAATCAAAGCACCCTCAGAAATTTGGAATGCGCACCATTTCATTTATTCTTCTATGATAATATATTCTCCTAGGAATCACAAACCGATACAGTGATTTGTATAATTCATTACAAAATTACATTTTTTCATGACAACTAACTCTGTGTGACAGACATCTACCGAAGAACAAAACTATCACCAGTTCACATAATACATTCAAATGATCACAAACCATGAATCGATTGACGACGTAATGACAAAAGCATAATTCAAAATTCAGCTATCAACACCAACTTCAGCCGGAGAATTAAGGTTTTTTAACTCATTACAATCACATGGTTTCATTTTTCCACAATTTCTTGTAATGTCAACTTTTGTGACGAAATTGTAACTGCAACCACAACCATAAACCAGGGACAATACAGAACATAAGGATTACAAAGCTTGATAACGGTTTGGAGATAGACGTGGTTTAACCAAAACCTCCAGTGGAGTAGCTCTGGTGTTGGTAAATCCAAAGAACTCAGTCATATCAACAGGGTCGGTCGAAGGATTTGAGATGTCAAAGGAATGCAACATATTAGCCAAAGTGAAATGAAGCACGTTTAAGCCAAGGGACATTCCAGCACACATTCTTCTCCCACTTCCAAAGGGTAACAACTCAAAATGTCGACCAATAAGATCCACATGTTGGTGAGTGGTGAGGAACCTTTCTGGTTTGAATTCTAAAGGATCTGACCAAACACTAGGGTCTCTGTGGATCTTCCACAGGTTATGCATTAGTCGAGTTCCCTTTTTTATGTGGTAGCCACCTAAGATGCAGTTTTCTATGAATACACGAGGTGATGAAAGAGGTGCTGGTGGATACAATCTTAATGTCTCTTTCACTATGGCTTGAAGATACACAAGTTTGCTTATGTCTGATTCTCTTATGTATCCATCTTTCCCAATTTGCATGTCTATTTCTTCTTTAGCCTTTTCCATTGCAAGAGGATTTCGTACTAGCAGACTGAGTGCCCATGTAAGAGTAACAGCAGTTGAATCAGTTCCACCCAAAATCAATTCCTGCAAATATGTTCAAGCTTCATCAAAAATTCTTCGAACAAAAACAGGAAATAAACTGG